ATGACCTTTTTCTCAAAGAAGTTACTATACTCTGGCAAAATAACCCTTTAAGAACAAGAAATAATCCTATAACAAGAAAAATGTGGGATCCAAGATACACTGCAACTTTCAAGGGAAGAAACAAGGGTATTATATAAAGCTTTCATATAAAGAAAGCAAACAGAATGATAACACAAACACTTATTAGTATCAAAAGAATTACGATAAAAAACAGAAACATATCTGTCAAATCAATAAAGTGAATTTAATTCATTAACAGAAAAAAATTCTGATTAGATCACAAAGTAAAACCCAATACTGTGCTGCACATGAATCAAAATGACACCAAAAGCGCAAGAAACAAAAGAAAAAATAAACTGAATTCCATTTAAATTAAAAACTTTTATGCATAATGGGGGAATATTTTTGCAAATCATATATCTGATAAGCGACTGATATCTAGAGTATATAAAGAACTATTATAGTTTCATAGAAAGACAAATAACCCAATTAAAAATGTGCAAATTATCTGAATAGACATTTCTCTGAAGAAGATATACAAATGGTCAATGAGACTCAAATATTATTAGCTATCAGGAAAATGCAAATCAAGAGCATTAAAAAGATAACTGTTGGCAAGTATATGGTAAAATTGAAGCCCTCATACATTGTTGGTGGGAATGTGAAATTATACAGCTACTGTGGAAAAATTTTAGCAGTTCCTCAATAGTTAAGTTACATGAGCCAACAATTCTACTCCTATGTATCTATCCAAGAGACAGAAAAATACATGTCTACATAAGAACTTGCACACAAATGTTCATAATAACATTATTCATAATAGCTCAAAAGTAGAAACAACCTAAATATCCATATACTCTTAAATAAATAAAATGTAATATAGCCATTTAATATTTATTTGGCAATTAAAAAAGTGAAGTGCCGATACTTGCAAGTATAAAAGGTTCTTATTTTTAAGTTTCTTTAAAAAATAATGAATTGTTTAAAGCAGTATAATAATAATAATAATATGTTGTGTGCTGTTATGGGTTTAGAATTATATTCCTTAAAATTCATATGTTGAAGTACTAACCCCCAGTACCTCCAAATGTAATCTTAGCTGGAAACAGGATCATTGCTGATGAAATTAGTTAAGTTAGGATGAGGTCTTACCTGGATGGAGTAGGGTTGGTCTCTAATCTAATCTAACTGGCATCCCCATAAAAAGGGGAAATTTAGATACAGACATGCACACAGGGAAAATGACATGTGAAGACTGAGTTATGCTGCCACAGCAAAGGAACTACCATAAAAGAGTCCAAGACCAGGAAAGAGTCGTGCACCAGATCCTTCCCTAGCACCTTCAGAAGGTATATGGTGCTGTCCACACTTTGATCTTGGACTTCCAGCTTTCAGAACTGTGAGATGATAAATTTCTGTGGTTTAAGCCACTCAGTTTGAAGTAATTTGTTGTGGCAGTTGTACCAAACTAATACAGGGAGTTAAGAACATGTAAAAATAAAATGTGTAACAACAGCACAAAGGCTGAGGAAAGAGAAAAAGACATACACTGTTAGACTGCCATGTGTCAGCAGACTGACCTAAGTTAGGGATCCATACTCTAAACCCTAAAGAAATGCCTTAAAAAGGTTATAGCTAATAAATCAACAAAGGAGATAATGTGGAATTATAAAACTATATTCAATTAATCCAAAATAAGTGTTCTCCCCACAAAAGAGGAAAAAGAATAGATGAGATACATAGCTAGAAAATAAATAGCAATATGGTAGATTTAAATCCAGTCACATCAACCAACACATTAAATGTGAAGATCTAAATATTCAAATGCAAAGGGCAGAGATTGTCAGTTTGGATGAAAAGTAAGGCTCAAATTGCCTACAAGAGGCCTACTTTAAACACAAAGAAACTGGAGCACCTGGGTGGCTCAGTAGGTTAAGCGTCTGCCTTTGGCTCAGGTCATGGCTCTCCACTCAGCAGCAAGTCTGCTTCTCCTTCTCCTTCTGTGATCTCTCACTTTCACTCTCTCTTAAATAAATAAAAAAATAAAAATAAAAAATAAACTAAAGAAACAAATAGGGTAACAGTAAAAGAATGGAAAAATATACACCATGCTAATATTATCAAAAGAAAATTAGGTAACTATATTAATAACAGACAGAGTAGATTTCAAAGCAAAGAATATAATGCGGGATAAAAAGGACCACTTCGGGGCGCCTGGGTGGCTCAGTGGGTTAAGCCTCTGCCTTCGGCTCAGGTCATGATCTCAGGGTCCTGGGATCAAGCCCCTCATTGGGCTCTCTGCTCAGCAGGGAGCCTGCTTCCCCCCTCTCTCTCTGCCTAGCTCTCTGCCTACTTGTGATCTCTCTCTCTCTCTGTCAAAAAAATAAATAAAATCTTAAAAAAAAAAAAGGACTACTTCAAAAGATAAAGAGAAAAGCCAATCTGTCAAGAGGACATAATAATCCTAAACATTAATGCACCTAATAATAGAGCTTCAAAATACATGAAGCAAAAATTTATGGAATAGAAAGAAATAAACACACCCACAACTATAGCCAGAGATTTCAATACTCCTTTCAATATTTGATAGAACACGTAGAATAAAAATCAGTAGATACACAAAACTAGAACAACACTACCAACCTACTTGACCTAACAATTGTGGAATACTCTTCCAACTACAGCAAAATACACATTGTATTGAAGTACACACAAACTGCTTACCATAATAGGTCCTATTCTATGCCCATAACACAACTCAAAACTCTAAAGTTTTTCATACAATACGAAGTGTGTTCTCTGATTATAATGGCATTAAATTTAACTCAATTACAGAAATGTGGAAAATTCCCAAATATCAGAAACTAAATAACACACTTCTAAATAATACTTAAGTCAAAAAATTAATTCAGAGGGAAATGAGAAAGTACTTTGACTTGAATGAAAATGAAAACTCAATGTATCAAAATTTGTGGGATACAGCTGAAAGTGTTTTTTGTTTTTGTTTTTTAAAGATTTTATTTATTTATTTGACAGAGAGACAGCGAGTGTGGGAGCACAAGCAGGAGAAAGCAGGCTTCTTGCCCTCCAAGCAGGGAGCCCGATGTGGGGCTTGATTCCAGGACACTGGGATCGTGACCTGAGCTGAAGGCAAATGCTTAACAACTGAACCACCCAGGCGCCCCTGAAAACACTGTTTAGAGGGAAATTTATAACACTAAACATCTCTGCTTGGAAAAGAAGAAAGATCTCAAATCTGTAATTGCTGTTCTACCTTAGGAAACTAAAGAAGGACAAATGAAATACAAATTAAGAAGAATAAGGAAATAATAAAGATTACAGCAGAAACCAACTAAAAAAGAAAACAGAAAAGCAACAGAGAAAAATAGTAAAACCCCAAACTAGTTTTTGAAAAGATGCATAAAACTGATAAATGTCTAGACAGGCTAAAGCAAGTTGGAGGATTTGGGGGTTGAGCACGGAAAAAGATATGACCACCAGGTGGCAGTAGCACATAATGAACTTTATTTGACTAACACCTGGACAGGTTGGCATGATAAGGGAAGTCCTTCATAGGATAAAACTGTCCATCCAAAGGGAGAAGAGGAAAAGCAGAGAGAGAGAGTGCTTGTGTGTTTAGATGATATCACTCAGTAGCAACACTGAGAGTCTCTGGAACATGGAACATGAACCGCTTTATAGCTGCTGGGTTTATCTATGGCTAGAAGAGGTTAGGTGTGGTTTCCTGGGGTACACATACCAGATAGCCTGCAAATGGCTAAAAATCTGCTTATTTGAGTTATGTTTCGAACTCTTGTATGGGTAAAATTTGAGTTTGGCAACCGCAGGCTTTTGTGCTTATGGGTCCCAGGCTGCTATTACTAAGTTAAACAACAGAAGGCCAATATACAAGAGGTTATCTTTGGCTCATAATAATAATCCATCCCTTGGGCCCACGTTGCTTTATAATTTTAGTTATATGTAAATGAATTATGCTTTAGTTTGGAGCCCATGGAAAAGCATTTTGAAGTCCCAGAATCCAATGAGAGTAAAAACAAGGATTTCAAAGCCCATTTGCAGCCAGTCTGTCAGAAGACGTAGAAAATTGATTTGTTCAATTTGCTTAATCTGTAAACTGTTATTAAAGGGACGTGCCCCTTTAATGCATGTCCCTGGCTATCTTTAAAACATGTAGCAACATGTGTTAAGTGTGCAGAACGCAATTCCTGCAGCAGCCATAAGTGATCTAGGACTAAGTGATGATACATACACCAGTGGCTGTGGAGTTGACACCGGCAAGGACAGGAACTTAGGTAAGGAAAACACACAGCAACAGAGAAGGGGTTGAAGTCCGAGTCATCTGTACCCAGCAGTAGAGGAATATCTTCTGGGCATTGTCCCAATTGTGCTGGCCAGTCTGGGATGATAAGTTCGATCCCACAGGTATCCATTGCAGATTCAGACTTGTTCCTCAGTGTCATCAGTGGAGCAAAGTACTTGGATGGCACACGACAGTGCCTTTCTCTCCAGATGGTGGCAGGCAGTCTGCTTAGCCAAATGCTGGATGATGAGTGGACACAGGCTAAGGACAGTCACAGAGTTGGTTCATGTCCAGTCCTCATCTCACATTTTGCTGAAGTTCTGATCAAATAGAACTTTTTGGTGAGCCCATTAACCCGCAACCAGGAGTTGGTAAAAATATAAATCTTAGGAAAATGTTTGTCAAGGGCATATGCTATTTCTGGAATAGTGTACTCAGCTCAGCCCATTGGGTGCTTTGGGCTCTCCCCATACAGAAACTGGAGTATATGAATATGGGCCATAGACTGAGACTGCCCACTGTTTGGCTTCTTTAAGCCCTGTGCCCACTCCATTCATAAAGAGACCTTTGATTTTTTCATTTTCTGAGTGCTGGCCACCTAATCCCTATTGAGAAAGGAATGAGACCTGCTGGGGACTTTGGCAAGTTAATGTAGTGGCAAGGTATGTGGTGGCCCTTTCCTTCTGGAGTTATGACACTGCACAGGGCCAGGTTAGACTTGAGCCTGTAGATAGCATTTCCATCTTAATCCAGCTGCAGCTTCAATTTTACAGAGAGCTTTTTTTCCATTATCCAGAGCATGAGAAGACTCTCACTCCATCAGTAATTGGCTCTGCCAGGATTCAAGGCTAGGTCTGGGCAAACTCCAGAGCCTGAGCATGTAATACTGTTTCTAGCTGAGGTAAAGGAAATATAAAGCCACATATCACCAAACCCAATGCTCAATTAAGTAGTGAGATTGAAAACACATAGGAAACTGAAAAATAATCACAATGAGGTAGGCTCACCTATTAAGCTACTTACTGTGTGCTGGACATCCTGAGCACTTTCATCTTCATGACCTCTCTGTGCAGTGGGCATCAATGCCTTCAAGGAGGAGGAAACCAAAGCTTGGGAGTTGAAGTGAATTTTGCTCTAGACCCCATAGCCCACGGGTAGCAGAATGGGAACAGGACTTGGGGTCATGTGACTGCAAAGCACCCTTTCTTGCCACTTTCATTCTCATTCCCATCCTGCCACCGTAAGTGATCTCAATATGTCCCTGAGTGAGCAGATGAAAAGAAGACCACCATGAAGAGTCCCACTCCCTTCCCCACATCAGTACCACCGTGGCCCTGTGCTACCTGAGCTGGGATGTGGTGTGAGGCAAATTCATTCTTCCCCTCTGCCTTCCCAACCAGAACCTGGGACACCGCTGACCAAGGAGGGGAGAACGAAGATAGTGAGTAGCTGGGGCTCTCCATCTTACCCTGGCCCTATTCCCTGGGTCCTCCTGTATGTAGATTTGCCCTTTGTGCACACGGGCACTTGGCAAAGGTCTGCAACCAAGATCCTCACCACCAGTGTGCTCTGTGCTAGCTACCACTCTGAAGTGAAGGGCTCCTGCAGGGGTAATGGCCGGGAGCCCTGACTGGGTTTCACCTGGACACTTAGTGAGTACTGTGAGCTGGGCAAAAGGCTGGGCTGAAATGGGTCTATATCAAGTTTCTGATCACATTTCATGGATAAGGGTGATCACTGTGGCTGTGATTCCAGATGGGGTTGTGGAAGCCACTGGGGAAAAAAGCAGCCAAGTAGGCTGAAGGGGCTTCCAACCTGACATTTTACTCAGACATTTACAGAAGAAAATGGTGCAAGACCTCTCAGGCCCTTGAATACTTTTTTTAAACCAAGAAAATGTCAAAAACGTCCCTGGTTGGTTTAGACATATGTGTATGATATGTCAGAACAAATGATCTGAAAACAACATAATACCCATCCAAAGATGTCCCTACTGAGAAGATTCCTAGCATTCACATCTGGCATTCCTAAAGATTCCACTCCAAGTCTAGTGCGTATCTTTCTTGGCAGCAACTTGAAGAACTACTTAGTAGCTGATGTCTGTCAGTTCTGTGACTCCACTTGGAGCTCTGGCCTTATGCACCCAGACCAGCACGGGGCATCTCCCTTCCTCGGGGAGCCACGGGTACAGCAGATCACCCTCATCCTTCATCTTCACCACTTCCATGCAGCTTTCCCCTAGATGCTCTGTCCTCATTAATGGTACCCCATCCTCCCATTCACCCAGGCGTAGCACCTTCTTTCTCTGATTCTGACAGCCAATGCAGAGCAAGCTCCAGCAGTTCTCTCTCCGAAGATCTTCCTGTTGTCTCCCCTTCATTCGCAAAGTTACTATCCTACTCAAGAACTCCATCTCCGATCAGGGACACTACAACCACATAGTCAATCCCTGCCCCCACTACCCCCTGCTTCAGCCATGAAATTTTTCTTTCAGATCGAAGCATATTCAGAAGCCTAATACAGTAGCAAAAGCAAGCTACTCTGGAAGGAGGAAAGAGAAAGGAATCAGTAACAGGTATGCAAACCTGTGTCCTCTAAGGCCACCTTCTAAGTGTCATACACTCCTACCTCATCTCTTTTCACACTTCCTTGAATCTTTGCTGTTACCTGACTACACATGGTAAGGTTTCAATCCTTGGGATATAGTGTTTCTTCTGCTCACAATGTCTTCCCTGCTTGTCTGCCCAGCACATAGTTACAGCTTGAGATCTGGAACCAGAAAAAGCCAAGTTTGAATCTCAGTTCCAAGTATTAGCTCTATGACCTTGGTGCTTTCTGAGCCTATTTCTGCATCCCTAAGATAAAGGTAATATTAGCAGTTATGTCAGAAAACTGTTAACAGCCTTAAATGATACTGTATTCATTGTTTAATGGAGAGATGGCACACAGGAAACACTCAATAAATGTTCACCATTGTAATCATCCTCGCCCACAGGAATCAACTCAACACTGCCCCCTTTTTCTTGATCCTTTCCTGCTGCACCCCCTGTAAACTCAGTACAATGCATTTCTAGTTAAGTTTGCCTTTCTTTGTCCCTCCTCATATTGTGACCTAATTGAGGACAGAAGCTAGCTTGTTCATCTTTGGTCCTCTGCTATCCAGTATATCCAGCACCTACAGGGCTCAGTGTTTGTTGAATGAATTGATTAATGAATGAAGGCAGGCAGGCAGTAGGGGCCATTCATGAATCAAGTTTACAGAGTATATACTATGTCACAGACATTGTTCTGGTTGCTGGGGATACATCAATAGATAAAACTAATGGAGTTCCTGCCCTCATGGAGCTCCCACTCTAATGAGAAAGGTACACTCAATAACAAACAAGTAAATATATAGTAAGTTAGTGCAAAGTGCTTCAGGGAAAAATAAAGTGAGGGGCAGGTGTTGCTTTCTCATATAAGAAAGTTAGGCAAGGTGTCACCAACAAGGTGACATTTGAACAGAGAGCAAACAGAGAGAGAGCAAGGTCGGTGGATATTTGAGGAGACAGGGCAGGAAAATGTGATCCAGACTCAGAATAGCTGGGTGCACATGAAAAGAGAAGCTGGCCAGTGGGTGCTGGAGAGCAGTGAGTGAATGGAAGAGTGACATGACATGAGAGCAGAGTGGCTGTGGGGCTGTGGAGTACAGACCATGGGCCATGTGCGGCCCAGACTATTTAATGAAGATACAAGCTATACTAATTGATTACTTTCTTGAGTGTCTCAAAAATCCTGTTCACTTACCCATTTTAAAATGTAGTAGAAAGGAAAACTTTCCTAGCCTTAATCAGCCATGAGTACAAATGAAGTTGTTTCATGTTAATTTCTGAATCTCAATGGCTTTGTGTGCTCATCTATGCAAATGTAGGGAGTCCTACCTCAAGGAAAATCCTTCCTTCTCAAATATTCTAGGAATCCTAAGGGTGCACATGATCCTAAGTGGGTTGCTATGGCTGCTCAGGTCAAGCTTTTGCAGCTTTGGGCCTGATGATTCCACAGATGTACCCCAGGAGGGAGGACCACTCCTGTCATTGTGCCCTAAATTGGTTGGCCAGAGGATCTGCCATTCCAGGACTCCGAAGGGCTATGAGGCTAGAGTGTTCCTTTTGCATACAGATGACCAGCACAACTTTCTGAACTCCAGCATTATAGCATCCATCAACACAGCTCAGTTCACACCCACAGACTCAGGATATACTGGGACCTTCAGCTTGCCTCCAACATTCTATCCGCTTGCGAAGAGGGGCTTGCCCTGTCAGACTGCTCCTTCTCTTACAGTGAATTTTCTCTTGGGGCTTCCAGATCTCTGCAGGTGGGCCTCTGCCTGGGCCACTTCAGCCCATAAGTCCTATCCATAATCAAACCCAATAAAGGACAGAATTCAAGACTTTTCCCCAGGATCCTCAGCCCTAACAGACATCAGTAGTATAACATTTGAAGGAGGTTATCACCGAACTATTTAGCAGTATGGCTGAATCTCAGCCCTTCCCCAGCCATTAGGCTATTAACCTTATTTATCAGTGTCCTGAGGTCTCCCAGCTATTATTCAAGGTATGGTATCTTGAGTGGTAACAGCAAAACCTGGAAAAGAATGGACACAGGTATTCACTTCAGATGGTACTAGTTTAAACAAGACCAAGAACAACTACAGGCTCAACACAAAATCTCTAAGCATCTATTTAAATCCTAGTATTTCATCCAGAAAACACTGCAGTATAACTGAAAGCTTTGAAGGCAGAAAGAACGGACTCTGGATCCATGGATGGTTTGCTACTTACAGTATGACTTTGGGCAGTCATTTCACTTTGAACACATTTTTCTCACTTATGGAAAGATAACAGTGCCTTTATGTGAAACCTAAATAGGGTGATTAACTGATCACCATGAAGGCACGAGGCCCAGCTGTAGTTCCTCTCTCTTTCAGCAGAGACATGCACAGGACTTACACGGTTTTGCTTTAAAATTTTTTAAAAAGGAAATTGGTTGATATGAGTCAATTTCATTCCAAATTCTGCTCTAAGGATAACCTGATGATGCTGAAAGTCTACCAAATTTGGTCCTTTTTTAAATATAATACTAAACAACATTATTTCTTAGGAAACTCCTGAATGACTTTTTCCACCTCAAGATTCTCTGACTTCCTCAATAAAAACAGAATAGCAACACTTAGGAATGTCCAGAAGATAAAAGCCAAGAACTACAAGTCTGACAATAAAAACTCCAAATACTTCATGTGGAAAAAAAATCCAGCTAAGGTGGCCAGGGATCTGCATTCAGACCTGACCTTGAATTCTGGCTCTGCCACTCACCAGCTGGGTGGCACCTTGATCTCTGTGCACCATTACCTTTATCTGTAAAGCAGGGACAATAACATCTCATAGAATTAAGTATAATCAGTGTCAAAATATGAAGTGCCATGTTCGGTCAGCTCAACAAACTGAATGGTGACAACCAGATGGATGTGGTCCTTGACCCCTGTGAGCCCACGGACTCTGATTTGGTCCTACTTCCTCCTGACATGGGTTTCAGAAGAGACCAGCTTGGAATGGCTGTCCATAACTACACTGGCCAACTACCAGGGTAAGTTCCTCAAAAGGCCAGCACTTAACTGACCTCTGCTGGTCTCACATAGAACTAGTGTGCAGAACTCCATTTCTGTACTATCTCTAGCCAAAAAAGTAACTTCTTTCTCAAAACACAAGAAAGAAAAGAATTAAAAAAAAAATCACTCCTCCAAATTCAAAGGACAGGAAAGCATAAACTCTCTCCTTTTTTCTCCTCTCAAAACCATGAACACTTATTTCCCCAACCCAAAGAGAACCACACATTTTGGGAGACCAAACTCTCTTTACTTTCAATCCACTGTCTTAAACATGTCATCATCATAAAACATTTACAAAGTATTTTGTTTAAAGCCTCACCCATTGCTCTCTAGTCAAATAAACCCAAGGAATAACTAGTTATCTTAGGGCCTGACACATTTTGAGCCTCCCTTGGTGCATCCATAACTGCAGCTCCACCATGGAAAGAACACAAAGGTCCAGGGCCCCAGGCTTTGTAAGAACTGAGCTAGTCCTGGGGAGCACAGACCAAAACCCTCATCTACTAGAGTGAGGATTGTTCTCACAAGTTGCTCCTTTAAATCCTGCTTTAAAGCAGCAAGAATATTTTTATATTATTTAAGGTTTTGTTGTTGTTGTTGTTATTATTATTATTATTTTAAGAGAAGAGCAGCAGAGGGAGAGGGAGAGTCTCAAACAGACTCCACACTGAGCTTGGAGCCAGATGAGGGCCTCGATCTCAAGATCCTGAGATCATGACCTGAGCCAAAACCAAGAGCGGAACACTTAACCAACTGTGCCACCCAGGTGCCCCAAAGCAGTAAGAATGTTTTTTCTTTTCTTTTTTTAAAAAGATTTTATTTATTTGACAGACAGAGCTCACAAGTAGGCAGAGAGGCAGGCAGAGAGAGAGGAGGAAGCAGGCTTACCCTGTGGAGCAGAGAGCCTGATGTGGGGCCCAATCCCCCCCAGATTTTTTTTTCATTACCCTGGGATCATGACCTAAGCCGAAGGCAGAGGCTTAACCCACTGAGCCACCCAGGCGCCCCAAGAATGTTTTCTAAAAATCTTGTAAGTAAAGCCTTTTCCAAACTATCATCCCCAAGTTTTTGTCAGATCTTTACATTTATGTACTCAGCTTGCTTAAAATGAGGCATACAGGTAATGCTGTGACACAGCTCACCACTTTAAAAAAAAAAAAATGAGCATATGAAATGCACACGTGGAGCTCAATGGTACCAAAATCAGCCAACTTGAGATAGCTCGCTATAGAATCACATGCATTTTTGCAACATTTCCAGCCCACGTCAACACTACACAATTCCACCTCTCAGGACTACTCTAACATCTCAGCACAACTTTTATATACACGTAATCTATACTCACTTCACTCCACACTACATTCTACCTGTGCATCTGAGGTTGTAAGACTTCTGCTACCACGAGAGGGAAGATCACAACAACAGAGGCAGTATGGAGCTTGGCCTGACAATCTCTGCCTGAGGAATAGTAGTATACAGGTAGGTAGGGAGAAGGCAATTTGGAAACAATGGTTAATCTGATGCTCTCCCCCCAAATTGTACTTTACTAGTAAAGGGGTCCCTCTCTGGCTCCCAGGGCACAATCTCTGCAGGCTAGAAGGCAGTCAGATGATATAATTAAAGTGACTCAAGAAAAAACCCATCAACCAAGAATTCTCTATCTGGCAAAACTATCCTTCAAAAATGAGGGAGAATATAAGCCATTCCCAGATAAACAAACACTACGGAGACAAGCTCTACAAGAAATGCTAAAGGTGGTCCTCCAGGTTGAAAGGACACTAGTAACTCAAAGCCATACAAAAATGTAAATTTTTCCAGCAGAGGTAAATACATGGACAAATATAAAACCCAGTATTATAACTTCTTTTACAGGATTTAAAATAGAAAAGCGTTAAAAAATAACTATAAATCTGTTAGTAGGTATACAATATATTATGCGTGTGTGTGTGTGTATATACATATATAGTGATTTGTGACATCAATAACATAAAGGCAGGTAGACTACAGTTTTTGTGATTGAAATTATTTAAAAATAAAACTTAAGATGTCAGAAGTAACTGCCATAACTACAAAGAAAATGTCTATAGAATATACACTGAAATGTTGCTCAAAGAAATCAAAGAGATTACACAGGAAGACATCCTGTGTTCATAGACAGGAAGACTTCATACTGTTAAAACGTCAATACTTCCCAAAGTCATCTGTAGAACCAATGCAGTCCTTGTCAATACCCCAATGATGTTTCTTGAAGAAACAGAATAATCCCTCCTAAAATTCATATGAAGTCTCCAAGGACCCCAAATAGCCAAACAATCTTGAAAAAGAACAAAGTTGGAAGACTCACACTTCCGGATTTCAAAATTTACAAAGCCGTAGTAGTCAAAACAAGATCATGCTCTTTCCCTGCCACCACCAGGTTGCTCAGAGGTGGGGCTTCAGGTACACCCAAGATTGGGCTCTACCTTGGCTCACCACCATGGCTGAGGAAGGCATTGCTGCTGGAGTATAATGGATGTTAATACGAGAGGTGCTGAAAACCACCCTCATCCACAAGGGCCTAGCACATGAAATTCACAAAGCCACCAAAGCCTTAGACAAGTGCCAAGCCCATCTTCGTGAGCTTGCACCCAACTGTGATGAGCTTATGTACATCAAGTTGGTCGAGGCCCTTTGTGCTGAACACCAAAATCAATCTAATTAAGATTGATGACAATAAGAAATTAGGCAAATGAGTAGGCCTCTATGAACAGAGAGGGAAATCCCACATAGTTGGTTGCAGTTCTGCGGTGGTTAAGAACCATGGCAAAGAGTCTCAGGCCAAGCATGTCATCCAGGAATTCTTCAAAATCAAGAAATAAACAAGTGAAAAATTTGGTTCTTGTTCCTAAAACAAAAGTGTCATGCTGATGCTAGGATAGCCGTACAGACTGATGGAAGTGAGGCCAAAAATAAACCCTTATATATATGGTCAAATGATTTTTTACAAGGTGCCAAGTGGGAATAAAGAGTGAAAAGGCAATCCACAAAATTAGAAAAATATCTGCAAATCATTCATCTGGTAAGTTATTATCCAGAATATATACAGAACTCCAACAACTCAAAACTTACTTTAAAAATAGGCAAAATATCTGAATAGGTATTTCTCCAAAGAAGGTAGCAAAAGCATTAGTAAGAATATGAAAATATACTCAATGTCACTAATCAGAAAAATACAAATTAAAACCACAATGACATACCATCTTGCACCCAGTAGGATGATTACTATCAAAAAAACAAGAACAAAACCAAAAATAACCCCCAAAAACCCTAAACATAAATAAGTATTGATGTGGCTATGGACAAATTAGAACCCTTTGGATTACTGGTAGGAATGAATGTAAAATGGGACAGCCATTTTGGAAAACAGCATCACAGTACCATAAATTAGAATTACCACATGACCCAATAATTCTACCTCTGGGTATATACTTCAAAGAACTCACAGCAGGGTCTCAAAGAAATATTTGCACACCCATATTCATGGCAGCATTCTTCACAACAGCCAAAAGGTAAAAGCAACCCAAATATGATATCCATCAACAGATGATGAATGGACAAACAAACCATGGTATACACATATAATATAATATTATTCAGTCTTAAAATGTTTGGAAGGAAATTCTGACCCATGCTTCAACATGAATGAACCTTGAGGACATTATGCTAAGTGAGTACACCACTCACAAAGGATAAACAATGTATGATTCCATTTATATGAGATGGGAGTAGACAAAACCAGAGACAAAGCAGTATGGTGACTGCCAGGGGTAGGCCAGAAGGAAGAGAATGTGAAGTTACTACTCAATGGAAGTTTCATTTTTTAAGAGGAAAAGATTTCTGGAGATGAAAGGAAGTTGATGGTTGCAAACAAAAGCGAATGGACTTAATGCTACTAACTGTACACTTAAAAACTGTCCTTAAAGTTGTCAAATTCTATGTGTACTTTACATTTATACATAATTAATGTAAAATAATTTAGTCAACAATTAAATTTTTTTAACTGGGAAAAAATGATTCGGCATCATTCCATTCAAGCGGTCAAAGTTACCACCACCAAAAATGGAACAAACTAAAGGTCTCTATGGAGAGAAATATGCTTAAACATTTGGGGACCAAGAGGCAAGCTGTCAAACAAGTTACTCACATGTATAAAGTAAATGCTACGAATGTGAACAACTGGTTAAAATAGGTGAAGATAGGTATATGGGAGTTTATTTTTACCATTCTTGCAACATAATTTTAAGTTAGAAAAATTTCCAAAATTTAAAAAAAGCCATTCTGTTTTGAGGTTTGAGTTTCTAACCCATGGACCAAGGATCATTTATACAGAAATAATCTTTTCTTCAATATAGTATTAAGAGAACCTCCTAAATCATTTTGAATTCCTCACTTACGATTATCCCTTTACTGTCTGACACCATGTTTTAGCCCCTATCAGTGAAATCATGAGATAATTGGAGCTTACCCCATCAAATGGCAAAATACTGTAAGTTTAAATCTTTTTTTTACTCTTACCTTTCTTGTTTGAAATTTTTAATGACCAGGTTCATCAACATTTGCTTCAATAGATGGCTATGCTTTTATTGCTCTCAGAAGTTTTTTTTAAGGCTATCTATATAAAGCAAAATGACTGTAGAAAGTACTGTTTCCACCTCCACCTAGCAGTTAGCAATCACCTGATAACATTTTTATGCACCTGCCTTTTACAGTTCACTGCCCCATCTGTGCTAAGCTTGTTGAAAGTAAATTCGAGGCTGCCCAGGTGGCTCAGTTGGTTAAGCAGCTGCCTTTGGCTCAGATCAGGATCCCAGAGTCCCAGATTGGAGCTCCCCTGCCAACTCCACTCAGCAGGGAGTTTGCTTTTCCCTCTCCCTCTGCTCTCCCCACCTCATGCTCTTTCTCCCTCTGTCTCTCAAATAAATAAATAAAATCTTAAAAAAAAAAAAAGTAAATGCAAAGATCCTGAGAGGACCTTTTGAGTAAGTGCATACACTTCAAGCCATTTTGGCTAATCAAAGGCTTTTATGGCAAGTACTACTTTCAAGTTTTTTTGAAAATCAGTGTTGTCAAAAACTCTGTTGCAATTTGTATCAGAATTTCCATAATTAAAATGAATTACTGGTTCTTGAATTTAGTCATTTTGACTAAACGGAGGTTTTTCATAATTAAATCTGCAGAGACTATTAAGTTTAAAGTATCACAAAAATAGAACAATATAGCCATAAACTATAGTTACCTCTAACCCAACTGCCAAACTGCTAACAGTAATGTACAGTGATTTTCAGTTACATCCACATTTCCTCTAAGTATTTCACAACTTTTTTTTTCATTACAACACCCTTCCCATGAGAAAACATCAATGTAATTTAATTAAAATCAAGTAATTAAAATTTCCCAAGGAAGAGAAATAGTAAGATTTTTGTATTTTCTTTCAACCCCAACTAGAATATTGCAATTCATTCCGACACTAACCACCTGAGTTAGCGTCCGACTCAACAGGTTTAAGGGCTCAGTCCTCCCTCAGATTGCTCCCATTTTGAATGCCAGTTTCAAGTGGGTCTATGACCACTTTTACTGACTGGTTACAAATCTGGGGGGTTCCCACGATCCCCTTAGGTTCAAGAATTTGCTAAAATGACTGACAGAACTCAGGAAAGCACTATGTTTATGATTTATTATAAAGGACTCAAAGTAGGAGGACCAGCCAAATGAAGAGACATAGGGCGAGTTCTGGCAGTAAACAGAGCTTCCACACCCTCTCTTTGTGGAATGAAGGCACATCACCATCTCAGCTTATCACTGTGCTCACCATTCAGGAAGCCCCAGTGAGCCTGAACGTCCAGAGTTTTTAATTGGGATCTCACTCCTCAAGCATGATCAATTACATCATTGGGCACATGACTGAACTCAATCCCCTCACTCCAACCCGTCAGGCCTGCCCCAAATCCCAACCCTTGTATTACAGGGTACATCTTTTTGGTGACATCCTCCATCCTAAAGCTACCTCAGGGCCTAACAAGTCACCTCACAAGAATCACAAAAACATTCCTATCACCCAGAAAATGCAAAGGTTTTTAGAAGTTCCTTATCAGGAATCTAAGACAGAGACCAAATTCCTTACTATACTATGGTCAGGAAGGATGAACATGGAAGATGGAAGGGTCACAAACCACAGTAATATCTAAGATTTTTTTCTCTCACCAAAAGCCAATTTTCACCCCCACTGAGAATACATTTTCTAAGACAATGAAGAGACAGCCCCCCAAAACCAGAATGGAACTTTATTGTGTAAAGTTTATAGAAGTATGACTAGTATTCTTCTGTACAAAGTACACAACAAACAGTTTTAAATACAAGTGAGAGAAATGCGAGTCCTATGACAACATCTGATACAAGCAGAACCATTTACAGATACACTAAAAAATTTTTTAAAATATCATCTTCTTTCACCAAAGAGTCCATTGCGCATTTCTTAGAGATGGGGACACATCCCAGGCAAGGTCACAATGGCATTTTATTGCCCTCGATGCTGATTTTCACTGCGTGTGCAGATCTGCTTTTTTTTCTGATATCTGTGAACTTTCTCATCTGCTTATCCAGTCGACTGATACCCTTCTTGGAGGTCCCCTGAAACTAAGAGTGGGGTAAAAATTAAAGAGCAAATTATTGAAATACACAAATCTAGTTTTGTCTTTCATCTTCTTTTATCTGCAAGTTAACAGTCAGAAGAGCTCCAATCTCTCTAATAATCACAATATGCTTTGGTGACCTTAGGAACAAGATCAAGTGTACACACCAGTGTTAGCAATGTACACATATTAAACTCTCTCAATGAAGATTAACAGTTGTCCGTGTCTTATTTTAAAATTCTGCCTTAGTCCACAGAAACCTCCTAGATGAAAGGGAGAAAATTTAAACTATGATTCCCCCCAATTCCATTCACTCACATTTTGACTATATGCTTTCCCCTTTCAAAGGTCAAACATGGAGCTGGCCACTTCAGATATTCACCTCCCAGCAGTGCTGGCATGAAGAATAGTGATTTTCTAAGGCAAGGAAAGTCAACTGAGAAAAAGCCTTAAGCATAACCAATGAGGTGAGAGGATGAGTAAAGCGAACCCAATTAAGTGCTGAAGCTCTAGTTTCAGACTTGGGGTGAATCCCCACTTTGCCTCAGCAAGTTCTAGAGCCTTAGGCAAATCAGGTCCCTCCTTTCAGGACTGCTAGGAGAAGTAAATGAGATAATTGTGTCAAATACTAGCACACAGTCAGTGCCCAAAATATGTATCAGTTATTACTATTATTACTACTACTTTGGAACCAATTACATTTATATTAAATAAGTACACTTGATAACAACAACAAAAAAAAGCAAATGAAATCTTTTGATCCAAGGGTGTTACATCTCTTCCTGCTTGCCATTTATGTTTAAAGGTTTGGTTTTAGATTATTTCTTTTTTAATTTTTAATGACTATGGGTCTTAAAAGGATGCCATCTTAAGAAACTGACCTTTAGAAATGCTGAGGAGGTCTGCCACTTAAGTCAAAGACCAGGGGAAACTCTTCTGGTTGACTATAGTGTTACTGACAATTCCAATCCTTAAGAATGTTGAATGGTATAAAAAGGAATGAGTTCTTCTATTTCTCCCCAGATGTTTACTACTGAATCACCTGTGAAGCTCAATTCCAGGATTGCTAAAAGGTAAGGCCCAGAAGGAGACACTCTGGGTCAGTTATCAGTGTGGTGATGTTGAGTTGAGGAGCCTCCCAAGTCTTATCCCACCTCTAGACTCAGCATACCCCTCAGACAGAAGCAAGGAACCCTCAGTCAGTCTCGAACAAGAGTGATCATCCACCCTATATTTTCTAAAACAATCCCAAGTCCAAATATTTATGTCAATTTAACACTTGGCAGTAGTACTCTCAGTTAGCAAAAACATTCCTTATCAGAGGAGAAGGAGCTATGCTTCTATCATCCTATCAAATCCCCAGATTTTCTCGATAGTCCTAAACATGTGCCCTCCTTTCAGATGTGCCCTGATTCTTAGTACTTCTAGTCAGTCCACATCAGAAGCCTTACCCACTCAGATCACCACCAATAATCTAACTCCCAGCAGCTTTACACGCCATTAGAAACATCTCCCAGCACCTCTCTAACAATCTGAGCCCTCTAGCCTCCACAAAAGGGACATACCCAGGACACAGTGATCCATTCCTATTTATATTAAGACTTATAGCTGGCAGATGCCTAGTTTCCCCAAGTCAGAGAACACAAAAGATTTAGTACCTAACATGCCAAATTCAATGACCTCTCTCCTAATTCAACTCTGCACCACACCTCCTTTGAACACTGAGAGTGTATGCTGCACTGTTTTATCAGTGAAAAACCACAAGTAGCTTAAAATATTAGCAAGATGGCTTTGCTTAAAAAAAAAAACAAAAAAACCCATAAAACTATGGTACAACTGTATTATGACACAATATTAAGTCACTGAAGAATGTTTACTTAAATGAATTTTTACCATATTTAGTAAAACAAAAATCCAACAAAGTATAAAACAACAATTTTGCATAAAAGTTGAAACAAAAACACCAAACCACAAAACCAGTAATGTTTATGTACAATATAAAAAGGACAAAAAGGAAATAGCCCAAAATGTTAATATTAAGGTGTAGTGGAATTACAAGTGACATTAATTTTATTTGTGCTTTCTGCATTTAAAAGTTTATATAAAAACATATATTACGTTTGTTATTTTACTATTATCTTAAAAGCACTCCATGGAATAAAGTAACATTTAAATATACAATGTAGTGTAGGTTACTGCATTATTTAGGAGTGAAAAATCAGAAACCACAGAGGAATAAACAAATTATATATTCACATGATAGACCATTATGCAGCCCATATAAAAGACAAATGATAAGGTGGTTTAATGAGGGGAAATGACCAAAATTATATACAGTATAATTTTATAAAAGTATCAATAGAAAAAGGCAAAAATTGTAACAAACTGCTTTTGAATGGTGGCTGATTTCTTTCTAATCTCAAAATTTTCTGTAATTATAACCACAAAAAAACAAATTTGAAGCATTACTGGGAATACATTTAACACAACAAACTGTTAACACTGGGGACTTTGAGAAGAGCAGGGCTTTGCGATGGGGTTATTCTATAGTGTTTTATATTTACTTATGTACTTTCAAAAATAAAAATGACATTTAAAACAAAGAGTTTCATTTGAAAGCCATTTACTCACTCCAATTTTCTTCTGGAAAATATGTTTTCTAGTAATACTCATTAGTGTCTGCAATGCGGAAGCCCTGAGTGAATGCATAAGGATTCTTCCTGAACAGGGAAAGAGTGTCAGGTGGTTTAAGGACAATACCCTAAAATGTAACATGAAACCACCAGGCCTAGACTTGGACTTAGATAGTACTGGCACATTATGATCTCAGGAGTGCTGGGATGAAGGAAAGGAAAGCAGCTTGAACTTGCCTCTCTGCCTGCTAGTCACCGCTCTGCTCTAGCAGGAGACTAGGCTACTTCTTCCCACCTGCCCATCACCTACTGGGAGAATGGGATCAGAACCAGCAACACTGGCAGACAGGCACATGCCTTTCAGAACACAGCTAGGCTTCCAAAGAAGAATGGCCACTGATACTTTTTTTATTACATTTTCTCTGTCTTACCGTTCTCAATTCTCAAACGTAAGTGTGCTAGGGAAGAAAAAATACTACTAAGAGGGACAGCAAGAGGGGAAAAGACAGTGGAAAAAGGAAAGGTAAAAAGAAAGAGAAGTGGCTGAGGAAGATAAGGGGTATCAAGGGATGTGGATATGGGTAAAAGTACAAAAAAGGGGAAGGAAGTATGAAAAAGTTCTTGGCACTGAAGTAGTGCTCTTCTACCTCTCATTTATTCTCAGTAAGTAGAAAGTGTGCTTTGTTTTGATTGCAGTTAATATCAAAAATGAACTGGCACAAAGGTGAGTGTAGTCCATGAAAATTGCTGCCCAAGCAGGGGTCTTGGAGAAGTCACAAAAGGAAGGCAACACACTCAGACTCTCAAGAGCACACTGCTACAAAGGTAGTGCTATTCATCTCAGAGCACAGCAGGGAGTGAGTGTGGCTTTAAGGAAGGGTCCCAACATTTTCATTTCTAACCATGTATTAAATATGTATTAATCAAATTTATCTCTTAACTATTTAGTGGGAGGCTTTATGCAATGGGTCCTCTCAAATGCACACTGACAATGGGAGGAAAAGTCACCTCCCTTCCATCAAGAAGCTACTCATCACTTTACATGCTTGTAATGCAGACCACTATGATTCTGGACCCTAAAAAAGACTTTTTAATAAAAATGGGTAACAGGAAGATCAAAATGCTTATCAGGGAATTAATTATCCATGAGTTTCCGGGGTACTAATAAAGGAAGGGACTTCCATTTCAATTTCTAAATGTTCAACAGAACTTGAAAGTCATGAAGTGTTTGTTAAGGTCATTATTTCAGTAACTAGAAGTGGGCTGGGCCTTTTCTGGTTAGGAAAGCACACGCACACTTATTTTCACTCTAGCTGCTGACAATTCAAGCTCATGCACAGAGCATGCTTCCTTGGGGATACCTCCCGGATACACTCCGGTTGGGCCAGGACTACAGGGGCATCCTGTTGCCTTCAATGCTGAACTTGACAGCACGGTGCACTTTGCTGAGTCGTTTCTGTTCTGCAAATCGCCTCTTATGCTTTTCCAATCGGCTTAGGCCCTTTTTAAGAATACCAGGCTAGAAAGAGTAGTTTGAATGGAGAATAAAAAAAGATTACTGAGGAGCAATGAAGATCACGGAGTAGTATTTACAATGATGACAGAGGAAGTGTTTACCCTAAATATTTCACAACAGAATTACTTAAAACAGTTGAAGAGAAAGGGAGGGGTAGATTGCAAAAGTAGAGAGTTCTGTTTCTCATGGTTCTAAAAAATGACTGCATGAGAACATTCTAGACTTCAAGATTTAGTTGAAATAAAGGGATTGATACTGTTGCTTTAAGTCTGAAGTAAAGCTCACAAGCAATGATCTGGCTAGCTAAGAGACCAGAAAACAGCTCTCTTTAAATCAGATAAACCTCAAGAGCTGTTAAAAGTTATAATACATAAAGTAAAAGACAAAATAGTAACTTCCACTTGAGATTCACATCGCTATTTCCCTCCTCGCTTACTTACCCTGGATGACTCCATTTCCACATTCCACTTAGGTCTGACAACGTAGTCCTTGTTTGAGGGCATGGGGACCCTTGCTCGGGCACAGAATCCAGGATCTCCAGGTCTGAGGGCCCTGAGAATAGGAAGAAGACCATACTATTATGTAGCCAATCACAGCTGGGTCCAGCTGATTCAGCTGCACAGGTATTTCAAACTTCTCTGCTTCCCCAGGTCACCCTATCTGCCCTCTTGCTATCTCAGTTGACCTCACCATCACTCACATTACTATAAAAATTCTTCAACTTCCCTCTCAAAGCCAACTTCTTCTGCATTTTCAGGAGTTCTCTTAGCCTCCCTTAAGCTTCAGATATAATAAAGCCTTTCTCCTTTCCAAGGCCGGCTCCCACATCAGAACCCCAAATTCCAATTTCTCTGGTCTGGTGGAGCTCCTCACAGTCTCACTTGTGAGATGAAACATCTGGTAGCCAAAATGATCCCCCAAAACGGAGTATGCCCTCAAAGTAGTTTTTGTGGTGTTGCATATGCAATTAATACAATAATTTCTGCTTCTTGTTTTTAAAAGTTTGGATGATCACAGATTCACATGTAGTTTTAAGAAGTAATACAGAGAGATCCAGTGTCTCTCCCAAAGGTAAAAGATGCAAAACTATCCAAGAACTACAATACTAATGTTGATGTAAGTCCATCAGTTTTTATTTACATTTCCCCAGTTTTACTTACATTCATTTGTGTGTTTCTGAGTTTATTAGTTCTATGCAATTTTATCACAAGTGCAGGTTCGTGTATTTACCACAAGGGTCCTTCCTATTGCCCTCTTATAAAAACACGTCCACCCTCTTACTCCATCTGCCCGGCCCCTAGCCCTGGTGACCATGAACCTGTTCACTTCTCTAATTTTAGCATTTCAAAAATGTTACATAAATGGAATACAACTACATAATCTTTAGAAACTGGCTTTATCCACTAAACATAATGCCCATGAGGATCCATCCAAGTTGTTACATCTATCAATATTTGTTCCTTTTAATTGCTGAGCGGTATTCTACAGTACAAATGTGCCACAGTTTGACTATTCACCTGCTGAAGGACATCTGGATTGTTTCCAGTTCTGGACTATTATGAATAAAGCTGTATACTCATTTACAGGTTTTTGCACAAATTTAAGTGTTCATTTTTCTGGGAAAAGTATCCAGGACTGCAAGTGCTGGGTCGTATGGTGGTTGCATGCTTAACTTTACATGCACTGCCAAACTGTTTTCCAGAGGAGCTGTATCATTTTACTCACATTAATGTACGAGTGAGCTGGTTTCTCAACATCCTTGCCAGCATTTGATGGTGTGACATACAGTTACTTTTATTACAAATTTAAGACTAAATTAAGATTAGCACCCTTCAAAAGTAAAGCCTATTTGTAAACATCTGGGCATTCAAATCACTCAACTTTTAGGTAACTATTTACTCTACTGGTAAATGGAGAGTAGGTATATGTGTGTCTGTGTGGGGGGAGGTTGGAGTGGGAGAAAAAGATAAAAAATTCATTTCTATTCCCTTGTATGGAGTGTAATTTTTTTTTTTTTTTTTTAAAGAGAGAGAAAGCGTGAGAGTGAGGGGGGTGGAGAGGACAGAGGGAGCGGGAGAAGGACTCTTAAGCAGGTTTCATGCCCAGTGCAGAACCTGCTCTCACAACCTTGAGATCATGACCAAAATCAAGAGTCAGAAGTTTAACTAACTGAGCCACCCAGGCACCCCAAGTTTCATCTATTCTTAATATCAAGCTTCTAGAAGTTTCAAATACAGGAATAAATTAAGTGGCTAGCCAAAGAAAATTCTCATAACCTATTCTCCCCTAAAGATGCCATCTGTCCCATCATCAAATCTATCCACAAACCAACAACACCAGTGCTCTCTAGCTCTTCTTCCCCCCTCTCTTGCAATCTGGGTGCCACCTGATTGCCAGCACTCACTGCACAAACTCCTCTGTAGCCTCTGCAATGGCCCATGCCCTTTGCAGCTATCCCTCTCCAGCATGGCCTCTTCATTCTCCTCTAGCATTTCCTCCAACATGCAGAACAACACCTACTTACTCACTTTCACTGGCTATACCCTTTTTAAAGTGGTATGGTTTATTTCTTACTCTATACTTTCTTGGTTCCACAATCATTTTTGTGGAAATAACTGTCAAATCTATTGTCTCTGGACCCAAATCCAGATTTTAGACCCATGATATTTACATTATAAATATCATACATGATATTTGTAAGAGTATTTCACTAGGCATCTCACATTTACTATGCCCAGAGCAGAAGGCACCTATATCCTCCAAATCTACTCTTCCTCTCTATTTAGGCAAATGGTAATACCACTGCCTGAGTTACTTGGGATAAAACTGATGTCTTCAACATTAGCCAAACTCCTCACCCACAGAGTCACCAATTCTTGGCAATTTTGTACCTCAGTTTCAGGCCTTCAGCTCCTCTGCACTCTAACCCACCTTGCACCATGATACCACCAGCACCAGCATTCCAAATCAAATCTGACAACTTCATATCTATGTCCACTTTCTATAGAATCACAAAGAGAAGTGACAATTCCACAACCTGATTCAAACCCCTTCAAAATCTGGCCCACATCTATACTCTCAAACTCATCTTGTACCATCTCAGGTACCACACTATTGCCCAACCACTTCAGTCTACTTGCTATTCCTGAAGTAGACTTTGCATGATAACCCATACCATTACTTAAGCTCTCCCCTTTACTTAAAAACTCTTTATAGACATTTTAAGAGCATGGGCCAACTTTTGGGTTTTATATTCCCAGAACTCAACACAGTCTAGCACATAGCAAGCAGCAACAAAATCTTTACTGAAATGAACTATTTCTCAATGTTATATCCTCTAGACCACCACGTTTGTGGATATTCAATAAATGTTAATCTGAAAGCCATCCCCCCACCAGGGTAAACATAACGTTTCATTTGCTGTTTTTTTAAAGCAACAAGCAGAAGATTTCCTATATGAAGTCTAAGAACAACAATTAATACAAAATCTTACTTTTCTTCTCCTGTCAGCACCTTTTCCAGGTCTCTTCGGGGTGTCTGACCACCAGTGCTATGAAAAAAATTATCAATGAGATACCAGGAATGTTAGAACCTTATAACTAAGAAAAAAGCCAGCAAAGCGAAATATCAAACTTGGACCACAATTTGGTCCTTTACACTGGATCTGGGAAAATTACTCCAAATCTTTTAAAATTATAACTTCTTTTAATGATTGTTTGCATATCAGGTTTCATCATGGGTGAGGAGTAACTGCCATTTTTGTAACTTATAACCCTGTCATCCTGGATGCAATTGCATCCGGTTTGCTGATACAAACTGAACCAGGACCAATTTTTTTTCTCCTAAGAATCTGAAAATGGACCTGAGAAAGAGAGTTTTTCCTGCAACTGGCTGGAAAAACACAAGCAACCTCTAAATTTGGCAGAGGCCACATTCCACCAAATCAAACCAAAAAAGAAGGGGGTGCGGGCCTTCACTGTATAGTACCACATTTAAACTAAAAGGGTATAAACTACACAGACCTACGAGGCTGAGAGAAAAGACAAAATCCTATCACTCTGCAGGATTCTTAATGACCTGATTACAAAACCTGAGTTGCTAGAACAATATTTACTCTTCATACCTGTTCATTCTCCGTCGTTGAGGCATTTGTTCTAGATCTCTCTGCTCTCTTTCTTCTCTTGTCATACCTTTGTAGTTTGAGGTAAGACCAAATATAGGCCGAGACCATTCATCTGTAACAAGGAAAAATCAATTATTTAGACTAGAAAGTAGCATATCTGCTACCATTCCCTGAAATAATAATATTACATCCTAGTGTGATGTACTATTCCAGGCTTTAGAATATTCTTTCCCTAAAGATACCATTATTTCAGGACCATTTCAGGATAAACACAGCAGGTAATAATACCAGTACTATAACCAGCTTCAGCTGATTCAGAAAATTGAGTGTCAGAAAGTCATGTATGCCTTTAACTACCACAGAGGTTTAAAGGAAGTAGTAACTGACTCACTTTGACAGTCATCAATTAGCTGTATTGACATTTCAAAGACAGCCTAATTTGTAAGTTGACTCTACTGGAAACAGAATATCTTGAAATTCTTCTAGCTTCCTAGTATAACCAAAAACAAGCTCCCTTATTACTTGTCAAATGTCTAAATCTTAAAAAATTGCATTTTAACAGTGCAGCACAGAGTCTAGATTTCATTAAGTCTAAGAAAGCTGCTACAGTGATGTGACCATGAACCAAAGTACAACATGCCCACCATTTAGTCAGTAAAAGTCCAGGGGTGATGTTTTTGTTCTCAAACAAAATCTAGCTTACTGCTGCATTTACTACACCATCAAAACAAGCAAGAACATTCAGAAAAAACATTAGGTGTTATCAAATAAGGGAGCAGGGAGTCTCAGGGAGTCTATATATCTTTATACATTTTGCCTACCAACCCCGCTATTAGATTCAGAATTACTGTTAAAGTGTCATGGGTATTAGTGGGAATATTCTGCTTCTCTCAGCTTAGGGCAAAATGAGAGTTGAGAACTACTGTATAAAAGCATTAGAAGTTTATCATATAATAGTGCACTGCAGTTTATTAACAAAATAAAAAATGTAATACTTCTCTAGTTCACAAAAAAAATAAATTTCTCTAAAAACCTTCGATAATCTCAAAAACTGAGTAGAAAAGTAATTACTATATTCACATATAGAAATATATTTTTTTAAAGATTTATTTATTTATTTATTTGACAGAGAAAGAGAGAGAAATCACAAGCAGGCAGAAGTAGGCAGAGGCAGGCAGATAGAGAGGGAGAAGCAGGCTCCCTGCTGGGCAGAGAGCCTGATGTGGGGCTCGATCCCAGGACCCTAGGATCATGACCTGAGCCGAAGGCAGAGGCTTAACCCACTGAGCCACCCAGGTGCCCCAGGAATATTTTTGATATATCCTTGAAGTTTAAAAAATTCCTTTGCAACATGGAGCATAGAAGAATTAAGAAGAATGATGAAAACACACATGGTTTTCATTCTTAAAACTGAAAGATACAGTAATTGATTAGATTAATTCTAGTTAGACTCCTGGATTCCTCAGTTATCATTAAATAAGAACAGGCAAAACACTTTGAAGACCATTATAAAAGTACAATAGCACTAGCGGCTAACATTTCTTGAGGTCTTACTATGTGCTAGACACTGTGCTTATATATATAATATGTAATATATACAACTATATATAATTGTATATAATATATAATACAGTATATATATCCTCTAATTTAATCTTTATAATTCAAAGTGAACATATCATTATTTTACAGAGGAGGAAACCAAGGCTTAGAGCTTAAATCACTTGCCTAAAGAATGCAATAAGGTAGGTGGTGAATCCAGGATTTGAACCCAGATATGATGGGACTCTAGGGCCTGTATACTAACCCCCTCTTATATATGCTCTTGAGCCAGGATTAGAAAACTTTTCACTTGCTATCCTTAATATTCATAATATACTTAAATATGCTGAGGAACATTTTAAGTCTAAGGCTAAAAAACTGGTACCCACAAGAAATTACCAAAAAAATTTCTATTCTACTTCATGAACCCATTTTAAATGAATACTGGTAAAAATATAGTTTGCTTTTATACCTACACGTCTTTCTGACATACATAAACATAACACAACAAAAAGCAAAATGTACATACTGATTAATTTCCCTGCCATATCCTTGTTGGACCTTGATTCCTTGGGGTGTTTATAGAGATACATCACTGCTCGTCCAATCCCACTATGCTTCAGGGTCTCCTGGCTCACACTAGGTAGCTGGGGAACACAAACACATACAAATACATTAATCACTCAAAAACTGGGAGTCCTGCCAATCTATTCTAGAGGACCTCCAACACCTGGTTCTTTCACAAAAGAATAAGGAAAATTCCATTTTCAGAATCTGCAGGCATTGAACACAAAGATACTCTGTGTTCCTAGCAAGAGTTGAGATTTCAGTATTATACTGAGTCAAAGTAAAACTTAATGTGGAAAGTGTAAACTAACCATACTCAGAAATTAGCAGTTTAATAACAAGCATCAGTACAGGCCTCTGAATCAAACAGACCTCAGTCTGAACTCAAGCATAGCCAAACTGCTAGTTATGTGACCTTGGACAAGTCATTTAACTTCTCTTGAGTCTTCATTTCCTCATCTGTAGAATGAAAACAATACACCTACTTTACAGATTTGTTGTGAGGAATAAATGAACCAATACATGTATGAACACCTAGCACACGGGAAGTTCCTTGGGAATTCCTTCAGAAGTTAAGTAGCCTGCCCAAGGTGTCAGAGCCACATAAAGGTGGCTCAGCTCAAGATTTCATGAGCAAGTTTATCTGAATCTGAAATTGGTGCCTTTTTTACTTCAAGTGCCTCCCTAAAACATGTCCACTGCTATACAATTCCTCTTAGATAAATAATAGCAACTCCAAGATCTTTTTCCTTCAATACTATAGTTATATGAAATGTTATAAGGCCTTCCTTTTTATGCTCATTTTATTTAGTATGTTTCTAATAGACATACCTATTGAAACCCCTCTTCTGGCAGACTAAGGCAGAATATGTAAGTACATGCTGACACAGAGGTTGTAACGATACAAACCACATCCGATAATTAATGAAGAACATATACTTAGATTATTTGCCTCTAACCTCTTGCAGAATCTTCAATAGCTCCTCTCGAATTTTCAATGCTGGCAAACTCCTATCTGGTAGAGGGGAGAGCCATTCTTTGATGGCAGACATCACACCACTGTCAATAAATGTTTCTTTAAGGTCCTGCCTGCAATTAAGAAAAAAAGTCAAGTCTCCGAACCTTGGTTCTACCATAGCTTGCCAAAATCTTGGTTCTACCATAGCTTGCCAAAATCTACCATAGATTTTCTTATATATTTAGTGGCATTTCCAAAGACTGCTTTTAAAGTTACTCAACCACCTTACTTACTAAGTACCTATTCCTGTTTCAAAAGCAATATAAAATTTAGTTCCTACTTAAAAAAAACAAAACAAAAAAAACCCAACAACAACAGATTTGACAGGCAAAGATCATTTGTTAAAAACCTGAATTATATAAGACAGGTTAATGCTATATGAATGGTACAGACAATAAGAATAAAGAGCTCCAATAATTATAACTTAAAAAAATAATCTTTATCAGAATAGAGATTCTCAAACTGGTTTAGATGAATAGAGAACCCAAAATTGTGTTAGTCTTGGCAGGACACCTAACTTGGTTAGATTCAAGGAGAAATCAGTTGCTCAAGAATACAAGTATCAAGATCTATCAAAAGAAGGTCCTTATTCTAGAAGACCAGTGACATACTTCATGATATAACTGGTCATATAAGCCTCCTACAATACAGGCTTCAACCAGTCCCCCAGAATTTTCTCTGTGCTCAATTACACTGGGAAAAGAGATGCAATTTTACTAGACTCAAAATAAGAGAGTCGATAAAGAACAAAAGTAGTGGTTTACATGCTTTTCTTTCCTTAGTGTCAGTTTGCTATTTGTTTTGTTCTGTTTGTTAACAGGCATCAAGACTTAAGAAAAGTTATGAGGGGGCACCTGGGTGGCTCAGTCAGATAAACATCCAACTCCTGATTTCAGCTCAAGGCATAATTTCAGGGTTATGAGACCAAGCCTTGCATCAGGCTCTGAGCCGGGCATGGAGCCTGCTCAAGATTTTCTCTCTCCCTCTGCACTTCACGCACCTCTTAAAAAAAAAAAAAAAAAAATTTTTTTTAATTTGGGAGGAAGTAACATAATTTAGGAAATTCTATTTATTATTATTTTTCTATGAATTGACAGATAGCAGTCATTAAATAACATCTCTAGAACACCAGTACATAATTTGAATATTATTCCATTAAGAGGAAACAACTTTTTCAAGGAAACAGAATACTTACTTCTTAAGGTGCATGACCACAGTAGGTAATAATGTTAATTTTTTCAGTGCTGGCTTTTTTTGATTGTTCAACTGTCTGTCTTCCTATCCAGGAAGAAAAAGATTTTTAAAAAAGCAACACTTATTGTTAATAAATTGTAACCACCAGAATTCTAAACTTTAAAATAAAGCAGCAGTGTCTCTGAGTAACAACTTTTTCTACAAGAAAACTAAAAAATGAACTTTTTATAGAACCCCAAATTCTACGTCTGTATTTTATTTTTTTCAGTGTTCCAAGGTTCACTGTCTATGCACCACATCCAGTGTTCCATGCAATACATGCCCTCCTTAATACCCACCACCTCTACGTCTGTATTAATCAAACCTACAAAATTATTAGATAGCTTAAACAATTACAAATTTAGAGGAATAATGTTATTGTTATTAAAAAGGAGTTTCAGTATTTACTTTGGTGCTTTTTCCTATTTTAATTATAGAAAATTTCAAATTCTACCAAGATAGAAAACAAACTAACACACTATCACATACATGTCCACAATTAAACACCCATGACCAGTCTTATTTCAGCTACATGTCTCCACATACTTTTCTCTTCCTTAAGTGAGGAAAGAAAAGAGGAAGCCACCAGTGAGCCATCTCACCTCCGCAGCCTCATTCATCTTGACAATCATAGCACTCACTACATCGTCAGCGTCACTAATAAAAGTACCACCATCTCGGTTACGCCTGCGCTTGCCGCTCATGCTCTTTTTCCGCTGCAACATCATCTCGAAATCCGATAGAAAGTCCATACTAAGCAGCAACACAAAATCAAGTGAAATACAAATTCCCTTTTAAATACATATCTCCTTTTGTCACAGTTAAGAACCACCAACTTTCTTAATTCTAACTCCACAAAATGCTATTTTCTTCTAAAGTGCAAATACAACTTGGCACCTTTCAAGATACCAGACTTCTCTGAACAGAGATTACAATCATCTCAACAAAAGAATGTGAAATTCAACCAAGTAATATTTTGTAGTTAGGACTTTACCTCATTGCCCCTGGAACCTCAAAGTCAGCTTTTCTCTCAAAAAATGTATTTTTATGTTATGTTTCAGTAACTCAAGAAGAGCTTACACAGTGAGGATGACACAAATTAAGAAGCTGAGCACAGGGCAAATGAAAAGAAAAATAGTAAGCGTAAATGTATTTTCAGACAGCACTGTATATAGAGAAAAAGAATGGAGAAAAATGGAACAGATTCTTTGCTACACTTAGTAAGGAACCAAAATAAGAAAAAACAAAGTTTGATAGTCTCTATCTTCATTTTTAAAGTACTCTTTAACAAATACCTTTATGATTTTTAATTTAAATTAACATATATTACTAGTTTCAGAGGTAAAGTTCAGTGATTCCTCAGTCTTATATAATACCCAGTGCTCATTACATCACATGCCCTCCTTAATGCCCTTCACCCAGTTACCCCATTCCTCCACCCACTCCCCTCTAGCAACCCTCAGTTTTTAACAAATTCCTTTTTAAAAAATGAAACAAACTTACTGTTTTCCTCTCTTTATGTTATCATCAGAATCTGAATCTTCTGCTTCTTTTACCTGTGTTTCACTTTTTTCTTCCTCCAAATCTTCTTGGTTAAAACCCTACAGGCCAGGTAAATTTGCTGGGGTTATTGCAACTTCCTTACAGATTTCCTTTAGTATAACTACTCTTATTTTTTTTTGCATTTTTAAAGTAATACATTCACAAAAAGGTAAAGAGCAAAAAAGCTTCCTCCACCTTAGCTGTTAGTGTTACCACTTTTCTTATGTCTTCTTCCAGAAATAGCCTATATTTTACACATACATACTTCTAAACATATGTATTTCTTATCCCCTTTTATTATACAAATGGTAGCATACTCCACGCACTGGGTACAGTATATACTGGTTGCACTTTCCACATTTAACAATAGAATATGGAGATCAATTCATATTGGCATAAAGTGTCCTCATTCATTTTAAGGCTTTGGATTATTTCATACTATGATTGTAACCATAATTTGTTTATATATTTTCCCACAGACATTTAGGTATATGTATTTGAAATTCTGTGAAATATTTACCAAACTTTTCACAGAGGTTATACTTATTAATTCTTTTCAGCAAAGCATTAAGTAAACCTGTTTCTCCAGCTTTTCACTACTACAAGTTATCAAACATTGATATTCGCCAATCTCTGAACCAAAAACTAAAAGGCATCTTTCTTTATATTCTCTTGTGAGTAACAGTGGGCATTTTGTTCATGTTTAAAGGTCATTTTTAATTTTTTCTCTATGGAACTCCCAATTTCCTATGTCCATTTTCCTGTTGGATCTTTGTCTTACTGGTATGGATTTAAAACTTAGTCTCTTTATTTATTTATTTATTTATTTTTTTAAGATTTTATTTATTTATCTGACAGAGACCACAAGTAGGCAGAGAGGCAGGCAGAGAGAGAGAGGGGGAAGCAGGCTCCCCGCTGAGCAGAGAGCCCGATGCGGGGCTTGATCCCAGCACCCCAGGACCATGACCTGAGCCGAAGGCAGAAGCTTTAACCCACTGAGCCACCCAGGCGCTCCAAAACTTAGTCTCTTTAAAACAGCCCTTTTTAAAGTGACAGGGCCTGCACAATCCTCAATTGGTACAGTTGCATTTTGTTTATGGTAATGTTTTCCAAGCATAATTTTTTGCTTTTATGTAATTAAAATGGTCTTTTCTTTATAGCTTCTTTTATGTTATACTTCGATCTTCCCAATAGTTCAATGAGTATGTTGTTTTTCTCCATGAACTAAACCCAAAATCAAGTTGATGGTAATTCTCTAAACTAAAGAAACACACCTTACTCTTGTAAAAAAGCTGCTTAATTGAGTATAAGCACCATGAGCGCAATATCCAATCTCTGGCATACAGGCTCCCAAATATTTGAATGAATTATTCCTATTACTCCTATTTTCCTTAGGTTCACTTTATTTTTCTACCCCCTTGAATCAGACTCTAAATTCATCTAAGTTTCACTCTTTTAGGAATTAAAGTACTGATTTTTTTTTTCAATGCAAGAACTGTCTGACAAGAAAGTCTTAAATTTCTGGGTGGCAAGGATATTTTGTTTGTGGATTCTGAAATGAATTTCTAATTTCACTGCTCTGCATTCAGAAAATGTTTATACTTTGTAATTTTTGCAAAAGCTTGGTTTAAAATTTATATGGGAATGTGCTAAAAGAAAATCAAGGCAATCTTGAAAAATAACAAGCTTAGAGGGCATAAACAACCAAATATCCACAGTTCTGTATTAACACCGCAAGGATAAAGAGACCCACAGAACAGACAAGAAACTGCCAAAATAGACTGGAAATCATCTACAGACACTTCGTTTATGACAAAGATGGCACTAGGGAGAAGCAGGAAAGGATGGCCTGGGTCAACTAGATATTCCAAATGGGAGGAAAAATTTTTTTAAACATTTTAATTTAAAGTAACTCTATATACCCAATGTGGGGCTTCTTTACAATCCCAAGATAAAGAGTCATATGCTCTCCCAACTGAGCCAGCCAGGAACCCCCTAACTTCTATCTCATACATACCCATTACAGGTGGATTGTACAACTAAATGTGAAAGATTAAAATAAGCTTCTAGAATATAATTCAAGAGAGTATCTCTATGATCTTAGGAATACGCAAAAATTTGTGGGAGTTCAAAGTTTCACTATAAAGGAAAAGATGGATAAAGTTGATTTATATTAAAATTTAAAAACTTGCTCAAGACTCCATTAAGAAAGTGAAAAGGAAAGCCAAAGAACAGAAAATAATTTTAACTTTTATAATCCCCAAACTTTTCTTTTGTATTCTAATTTGCATTTTATTTCCAGATTACATAAAAAGAGACTCTTCAGTGGCTTTTTGGTCTGCTTGTTCTATTGGTTACATTCCACTCAGATAATAGATTTGTTCATTTCTCTTTGCCATTCTGTTAATTTTTGTTTTGTATATATGTATTTTGGCCACATTAGTATATATATACAATTTGAAAACCTTTTTAATCAATATAAAGTGATCTTTTTTTTTTTTTCTTGAAGATTTATTTGAGAGAGAGAGAATCCCGAGCAGACTCCACGCTGAGCACATAGCCTGAGGTAGGGCCCAATTTCAAGATCCTGAGATCACAACCTGAGCCGAAACCAAGGGTCACATGCTTAACCAACTGTGCTACCCAGGCACCCCTAAAGTGACCCTTTATCTCAAATGTTTTTCTGCCTCAAAGTCTCATATTCATAGAGCTGTGTCAGTTTTTTTATTAGCGTTCACACACAGTATCTTTTTCCATCCTTTTATTTTCAACTTTTCTTTACCTTCTTTCAGATGAATCATGCAATGAGTAAACGGCTATATTTTAAAATCCAATCTGACCACCTCTGTCCTTTAATTAGAGCACTTGATATATTTCAGTTTAATATAATCTGAGATGTTATGAAAGCTGCTATCTTACTATATCCTACTCTAATTATTCCCTGTTCTATACCTCTTTCTTTTTCTCTTGCCTTCTTTTTGGATTGAAAGCTTTTACTATTGTTTTTCCCCTCTATTAATTGGAGGCTACGTATTCCATTACTTTTTTTAGTGGCCACTTTAGAGATCAAAGTCTACTGATGTCCTTTTATACACATTTGCAAAGACCATGTATACTCCCAATTTGTTACTGCTGTAATATTCTAATTTTATAGATATTTCAACCCACATCACACATGACTTTTGTAGCATCAATACTCATTTAGACTTACCCACACACTTTTGTTGCTTTTTCTTCCTAAATCCCTGATTTTCCACCTGAGATTTTCTTTCTGCCTTTAGTATCTCCATCAATTGGTATATTGGTAAGATGAATTAGGAGGAAATCTTCATTCCTGACAAGTATTTTTGCTGAATGTAACAGAACACTAAGTTTGCAGTTAGTTTCTGTTAAGAAGTCAGCTATTAATCTGATTTTTGCCTCTCTGAATGTAATATTTTCCCCCTCTGGCTACTTCTAAATTTCCCTGTCTTCTCGGACTTCTTGCAATTTTACTATGATGTATTTAGGTACAGATTTCACTGTATCATTGTATTTATCCTGCTTATAATTTATACAACTTCTAGAAACTCTTGCTTTATATTTCCTTAAATGCTTCTGCTATATTTTTCCAAGATTCCAATTCACTATGTTAAGCCTTCTCATGTATAATTTATAATTTTTTATATATCTCAATTCTTCATTCTAAATAGCTCCTTCTAACCTCATTTTCTTTTCAAATAACTCTATTCTGTTGTTAAACTCATCTGTCAAATTTTTGTTACTATAATTTTACCACTCCAGAATTTCTATTCAGTTCTCTTCTTCCAAATCTACCTTTTTAAAAAAATTGTTTGGTCTGGGGCGCCTGCCTGGCCCAGCTGGTGGAACATGCAACTCCTGATCTCAGGGTTTTAAGTTCAAGCCCCATGCTGGGTATAGAGAATTACTCAAAAATAAAATCTTAAAATTTTTTTAAATAAAAGTTGTTTGCTCTGACAAAATTCTAATCTTTTATCTCCTTGAACAGTTTTTTTTTGTTTTTTTTTTTAAGGAAATAGCTAAGATTCCTGTATTTAGACCGTCTATTTCTATTATCTGTTGTCACTATTGTTTCTTTTTAACATTATCTATGATTGTGTACCACACTATGTACCTGATAAACTACAGAAATAATCTGAGGCCTGTGATGATGCTACCTTTGTCCTAAAGGGATTTGTCTGAATACGCCAGGTGTCTCAGAGCACTAGCCAATGAATTAAGGCACACTGTGATTGAATCTCTGGGACTGAGGTTCTCTAGGTTGTCAGAAGACTCAAAGCTGGCCTAAAATCTAAGCAAAGACTCTTACCACTTCCACATCACTCTTAATCCAAGGAGTCCCAATTCTGAGCATGCAGTTTTCTGAGCATGCAGTTAGGGTCTCCTAAGCTCAGCAAAATCTGACCTCCAAATTTTGACCCCTGAGGCTGTCAAAAATATGACCAGCCTCTCAGCCTAATCAGGCAACCATCCCAGAAAAAGCAGTTTTAAATGCTGAGCTTACCTCTTTAGGTATCTGTCTGTTCTGGGGTTTGGCTTAGTAATTCTTTGCTATCTTGTTCCTCTGCTGATGAGATTTTTAAACATCTGTCTGGCTTTTCTAGTTGTCTTTAGTGGAAGGGTTGGTCCAAATTACCTAGCCTGCCACTGCTAGAATCACAAGTTTTGTTAAGTATTGTGAATCTTTCCCTTTAGCATTATAAGGTACCTTCCACCATCTCTTAAAATGTCCCCCAATGATTAATTCAATTTTGCCTTTTATGCTTTTGTACATACTTTTAATTCACTTTTCTGAATCCTCTATTTTAGACTTTTCTACTGAACACATTATAATTGTTTATTTCTACTTATTGTAATTACCTATTTGGGAACTACTGCCACAGAAACAAAAAGGAAATATCTCCCTTATACTTACTGTAAATTCTTCTTCCTCTTCATCGCCAGATTCTCCAAATATGTCTGCAATAAGATTTCTAGAAGAGAAGGAAATCATTTGCTTTCTTCTCATTTGCACAGGAACCATGAAATCTTTTTCTAATAAGGTATATTTTATGTATAGTAAAATGTGCAGATCTTAAGTGTCCATTCTGGTGGATTTTGAGAAAAGTACACATTCATGTAACCATTACCCTCATCAAAATATATAACAATTTGATCTCTCCAGGGAGTTCAGTTGTGGCCCTTTCTAGCCAGTCCCTACATGAATATCCTAGAGCCAACCACCGTTCTGATTTCTATCACCGCAGATTAATTTTGCCTGCTCCTGAACTTCACATCAGTGGAATCAGACATGTCTTCTTCACTTCTTTCACTTAATACTATTGAGATTCATCCATGTTATAGTGTGTAGCAATAGTTCAGGATTCCTGAATCCCCCAAAGTCATGCAGTCAGGCAGGATATATTGTATTTTACTTCTCATCACAAAATTTTAATACAAGTTTAAAAAAACTTAAAAGACAAACCCCTCTCTACCACCTCTATGAACCCTTGAAAACTCATGTTATACTGTCACTTACTCTTCTTCATTCCCAGACTCACTATCACTCCCAAACAGATCCTTCTCTTCATTTTTCTTATCAGACAACTCTTCTTTCCCTACTTCTTCTTCACTGTCAGATGCTAGAGTCTTCTCTCTTTTGCCTGATTTGTCTGATATAACATCACTGTCAGAGTCATCTGCATCAGAGACAACACGACTCTTCTTTGCTGCTGTCAAAAAAGGTGCAAAATATCATTAATCTTATTCATCATGGTCATGGTATTACTAAAAGGAACAGGTGATTTAAAATGGCAACACTCGGCAAAAATCAAAGGGCTCCTAACACACAGCTTAGAATAATTATTAAGAAAAAAAAGAAAAAAGAACAGGGGCACCTGGCTGTCTCTTTCAGACCATGTGACTCTTGATCTCCAGGTCTTGAGTCTGAGCCCCACATCCGGTATAGAGATTAAGTAAAAACTTTATTAAAAAAATAGTGACTAAAAGGTTCAAAGTCATCTCACAATTATGATACTCTTTAGGAAACAGTAACTGGAAGATGAAGAACAAAATAATATAAAAATGGACACCAATAGCTACCCTTCCTTTGGGGGAATAGAGAAAAGAAGCCTAGAATGATGTACAGAATTAGAGTCCCGTCTATTCTGCCAAATATTAGCAGAACTGAAAAGGCTTAGATATTCTTTTGTGGAATTCCCATACTCCCCCATCACTGCTGGTCAGTTTGGAATTTCTCATCTCCCTTAGTAAACTGGATGGCACATGTGTGATGGTCTTTTTCCTTCTCCTGTAACAACTGTCAGCTTATAAGGGAATAGGCCTCCCCACCCTATCAAGGAAGTTTCATAAAAAAGTAACCAAGTAAAAATTATTATCCATGAAAACAGGATCCCAGGTAACAAAGATTAGAATATGCTACACAGACATAGAGTCTCTAAATATAGTCTCCCTCACAAACTTCCTCATATTTGGGTATTCAACCACATTTCACAAAAGACAGGTATCAAAAAGACTTGGGAACTCAGTCAATAGCTAGATGGAAACTAGTGCACTGACTGTCACACTTGCAGCTAACTCTGGGTACAGCTGGGTTTTCAAGTTAACATATTTCTTGGAAACATTACCCTCCCCCCACAAAAAACTAAGTATTTCATATTCCCATGAAACTCCCATTAGTTTACTATTTTGAACTAGTTAGATCTTAATACTCCTAGAACTCAAAGCAAATTTAATACAAGATCAGCCACTGAAAACCAAGCAAAACTGGTATCTTAGTAATATTTTAGAAGATCGAGTTGAATGAGAGAATATAGACCTAACATTTCAGAAATACAGTGCTTCACAGTTACAAGCTTAGACAATAATTAAAACTATGCACAAACAGTCCAAAACAATTCCTTACATGCTTTCTCTTCATCTTCACTATCAGAAAGCACAGCAGCTTTTCGCTTCGCTACTTTCTCCTCCTCCCTGACTTTTTCTTCATCTTCATCACTGTCAATTTTTGGCCTTTTGGGTTCTTCCTCCTCGCTGTCAGAACTCTGGATCCTTTTTCTATCTACATGGCTATCTGAATGAAAGGAGTCATTCTGCATTTCTGTATCCTCTCTCTTATTCTCCCCATCACTATCATCATCTGACTCTGGCTTCTGTTTGTGTCTGGAGGCATCCTCAGTTTCAGAATCACTGGCAGGTCCCTTCTGAGGCTCCTCACTCTCAGAGTCACTGACTCGGGGCTTGGGAAGCTCATTTTCTGAATCACTGGCCTGGTTCCTTGGGGGGTCCTCACTTTCCGAATCGCTAATCCGAGGTTTGGGAAGCTCCTCATTTTCTGAGTCACTGGCTTGATGCCTTGGTGGGTCCTCACTTTCTGAGTCACTGATACGGGGCTTGGGAAGCTCCTCATTTTCTGAGTCACTGGCCTGAATCCTCTGAGGCTCCTCACTTTCAGAGTCACTGACCCGAGGCTTAGGAAGCTCCTCACTTTCGGAATCACTAATTCGAGGTTTGGGAAGCTCCTCGTTTTCAGAATCACTGGCTTGGTGCTGTGGAGGTTCCTCACTTTCAGAGTCACTGATTTGAGGTTTTAAAGCATCCTCTGTTTCAGAGTCACTGGCAGGACTTTTGGGGAGCTCTTCCATTTCTGAATCACTGGCAGGATGCTTCCTAACTTCTTCATTTTCTGAGTCACTTGCATGCCCGTTAAGAAGTTCCTCATTTTCAGAGTCACTGACAGGTAACTTCCTGGTCTCCTCACTCTCAGAGTCGCTCCCATGCTGATTAGTGTCCTCATTTTCAGAATCACTTGCAGGAGGCTCTGCGTGTTCTTCAGATTCAGAGTCACTGTCCTTTTGCCTTTGAAGCTCCTCACTCTCAGAGTCACTGGCATTAAGATTTGAGGGGTCATCATTCTCAGAATCTGTCACATGGTGTCTTTTGTTGAGGCCATCCTCTCGATCACTAGGTTCATTCTGAAAAATTAAGGGTGAAAAAATTAGGAGTGCAAAAAAATGTTTGGTAGCGAAATGCTGAAATTTTTCAACAATTTTTTAAAACAAAGGAATATGCACACTTCAATATAAAATTGTTTTTCTATACTTATATGGAAACACCCCACCTTAAAGAAGATCATACACCTGTAAAACGGCTAACATGGTTTGGATTCCAAAATGGGAAAAGATAACCAAACTTCACCAAAACAAATCTGTAAAGTATATGCCCAGATAATTATATAGGAGACTTAACATCTTGAAGAGCTAGACTTTAAAAATACAAACAAAAAAACAAAACTCTGATGTTCTCACATAATTTTAGCTCCTAAATATATTTTTCAAAGAAGTATAAGCAAACAGGTACCCAAGTTCTTTTTAAAAAAACATTCTTGGGTTTTATAAAGTTAAAATTATTTTAAGGAAAAGAACTATGGAACTATAAGGTCAAATGATATACAGGACACATTCTCCTAGGCAAATCTAAACAAACAAGGAGAGGGATAGCTCACACATACTAAGTACCTATTATGAGCCTAATGTCTTGTCAGACTCTCCCCTGTTAGGTCATTTACTCCTCATAACAGTACTTTTCATGGTAACAAAATTGAGGCTTGGAGCAGTCTCAGTCATATATCTAATAACACTGAGACAAGAGTTTAAGTTTTAGAGAAACTACAGTTGATCCTTCAACAACTTGGCGGAGGATCTCTAGGAGAACTGACCTCCCCCTGCCACACACACATAGTTGAAAGTCATGTATAACTACTAACTTCCCAAAACTAAATGACTAATTAGCCTCCTGTTGACTGGAAGCCTTACCAATAACATAAAATGTCAATTAACACATATTTTTAATGTTATACTATATTCTTATACACAATATTCTTAAAGTATACTTTACTATACTATATTCTTACAATACAGTAAGATACTCTTACAATATATACACTATACTATATTCTTACAATACTATATTCTAATAATAAATTAAGCTAGACAAAAGTGTTTTAAGAAAGTCATTAAGAAAATACATTTATAGTACTGTATTTATTGAAAAAAAAATCCAAATATAACTAGGCCTGCGCAATTCAAAACCATACTGTTCAAGGGCCAACTATAAATGAAAGTGAGGAATAATAATTAACTCCACAAACTATGTGCATGTGTTGGAGTCAAGGCTGAACATGTTTCAATGCCTGATCCTAAGAAGCTGTTTTCTAGTAAGCCAGACAAACATATCCTAACAACATAAACTAATATGTACTGGCATGAAAGTATGCATGGTATTTTGAAAGCCTACAGGAAGTGATCTATATGAGACAGAGCTATAAAAGGTGTGCAGACAACAGGTATTTGTAACTAGTCTGTGATAACAGAGTCAGAAAAAAAATTAACGAGATTATTGAGGAGGGAAGGTGGGATATACAGACACCAGCAGGGGAACTAAAGCAGGAGTCAAAAGGGAAAATTAAAATTGTAATTGGCTTTTGAAATGCTTTCCATGACATAGCCATAACCTAATTCTAACAGCATGTTTGTGTATGGCTCAATTTATTTTCATTGCAAAGAACAGAAACCATCTCTGGCTATCTTCAGAAAAAAGAAAAATATTCCCAAAATCAAAGTAGAATGAATGACTAAAGACTCAGAAAAGGTAGGAACCAAGTCAGCTCAGAGAGCTTAGAAAAGGGAACTCAAGCATCTTTCTACTAGAGCACTATCAATACCATGACTCACTCTAACCATGCTGAACTTCTGTGTCTAGGATCAAAAATTTTAAACTCTCAGGACAGATGATCTAATTGGCCACAGCAGTATCAGATGTCATGACTCAGTATTCACTGGGTTATACAGTCAGAGCATGGACAAAGCAGTGGGACCCACTGCCACAGAGGAAGGGAATCATGAACTAGACAGCCATTCCAAAACTTATCTGCTACACTCTACCCTGGATTTCTAGACACATCATGTATACATTCTAAAACAAGCAACCATGGGGGCACCTGGGTAGCTTAGTAGGTTAAGCATCTGCCTTCAGCTCAGGTCATGATCCCAGAGTCCTGGGATCAAGTCCCTTGTCAGGCTCCCTGTGCTTCTCCCTCTCCCTTTTTCTCTCTCCTCTCCCCCAACCCCGGCTCCTGCTCTCAATCTCTCTCTCAAATAAATAAATAAATCTTTAAAAATAAATAAATAAGTAAACAAAATAAGCAACCATGACAAAGACATTACATATGGTCAGGACTGTGAAACTTAAGAATTCTCATCAATTTTTGAGGAGTTTCATTAAAACTGGGTATCTATTCATTATGTGTAATATGGTGAAGACAAAACGGTAAGAAATCACTGTAGTAAGAAAGTGCTAGTCAAGAGACTCAAGTTGGAGAATGCACTTAGGCAGTGACATCACAGAATTTAGGAAAGGAACATATTAAAAATCATACAGTTATGCTTAAAAGTTATCAAAACAATATTCAAAATTTTTAGGCTGGTTTCAACAATTGGTTTAAGTTGCAAACTTAAAAAATCCAAAATGCAGTTTTTGAAAAAGTCAGATATGAGCACAACAAATCAATTATAGAAACTGCCATTTAAATGCCATGTTCTTAGTAATTAAAAAAAAATCCCCTAATTGTTAATTGTCAGAGAAATTGACCACTGAGGTTTCTTAGAATTTTTTACAATGTCTATAAAGCCTCATACCTCCCTCTTACAATCATTCACCTTGTAGATACAAATAAATACTATTACCCATAATGAATCATTTGGTCATTTGGCTCAGCATACAAACAGAAACCACACTCCATATGGACCAGGGTCACAATACCCAAGCACAGAGAGGATTAACATCTAAAAATTCCAAAGTAAATAATAAAACTGACAGAAAGCAATAAATGTCAAATAGAAATCCTTGTAAAGAACCAAACTCAGGATACTTGTTTCTTCCTTAACCATTAGAAGAGTTGAACAAAACTGTTGAACTTGCATACTAACTTACCATTATAAATTGGCAAAACATTGAATACTAAGTCACAAAGTTAAATGCCATGAAGAAATTTCTACAGGAGATTTTTCAAAAACATGTTTCATTGGACCTTAGCTCTAAAAGATGTATCTGAAAACCTCATCTTGGGAGTTGTCAATACATGCCATCTTTACTAGCATATGAAAGAATCTAAGAAATCCAGCAACAGAATTACACAATACTATTACAGATAATGCTGCTTATCCAGTGTAGCTCCTGGAGTGGATTTTGAGAAACTCCAATTTTACAGCAAGCATAGACATAATAAAATGAAGCTATATATAAGTACCCATTGTCAAAAGATGGTTAAACTTAGGATCAGATAGTTAAAAACAAAAGCACTTCTGATGAGTAGAAGGAAGAGCAAACTGCACACAAAGCTTAAAAGTTCATAATGGGGGCGCGCCTGGGTGGCTCAGTGGGTTAAGCCTCTGCCTTCTGCTCAGGTCATGATCTCAGGGTTCTGGGATTGAGCCCCGCATCAGGCTCTCTGCTCAGCAGGGAGCCTGCTTCCCCCTCTCCCTCTGCTTGCCTCTCTGCCTCTTATGATCTCTCTCTGTCAAAAAAAAAAAAAAAGTTCATAAGAGTTCATAATAATGAAGCAAATTCCTACTCCTGCCTACTACCTCTCCAGATTCATTTCTGCCCTCTCTCTAATATCAACCCTATGCACTGCACTAGCAGTTCCCAAACTTCCTATGTGCATTAGAATCATCTGGGGAGCCACTGGTGAAAAAGCACCAGATATTAATCCAGTAAGTCTGAAGAAGAGGTCACAGAATCTGCATTTTGACATCTAATCCAAGTGATTCTAACCACACATTAAAATTCTACCGCAGACACATGCAACTACTTACTTCATTACCTCCATGCCTTTACAAATGTTTCTTTTGCCTCGAGTATCTTCCCCCCACCTTGTCCTTTTCAAACCTCAAAACTGGGCAAAATAGCCTCTTCCTAAAGGCTCTTCCATTTTCCTCTCTAGACAGAATGGATTGTGTGCAACTTAACATTAAGAGTTAACAACATAGACTCTAGAATCAGAAAGATCTTGGGTCCAAACCTTAGTTCAGCCACTTCCTATTCTGTCATCTAGGAAAATTTTCTTAACTTCTCTTAAGCCTCGGTGTTCTCAATCTCATGGAGTTAGGGATAGTACTAATACCTTAGAGGGATGTTTTGAGGATCAAATGAATGAAAAGTAGTTAGCACAGTGCCTGTGATCACCCAGTAGATGCTATTAGCCATTCAAAACAAAACACCTTATTATTAATTACAAAACATTAACCCTTCAAGACTCGGCTTAAACACATCATCTGAAAAGGCTGGGCTGATTAACCATTCCTTTCTTCATACCCCATAACATCTTGTACCTCTACCTTACTGAAAGGTGATGTGAAATACACTGACATTGAAATCAGAGACCACTTTTTAAAAAATTTTATCTTTTACATTTAGTATATAGAAGACACTTAAATTCACCAAAATGAAATAGAACGCCATAAGACAATGCTTAACAGAAAAGAACACAAAATAATGTTTTTCTCCTCAACCTGGCAGGCTCAATGACAAAGCCTGAAACCTAACACAAAGAAAAGAAAATGTAGATGGAACCAAAGAACTGGTAAGAAATAGGGTAAACAAGGACAGCAGTACCAAAAAGAATATTCTAGCTGCTCTGATGTACTCTCCTTAAAAATACTTTCCTTGGTGGAAAGATCCAAACAAGAGTAGCCTGCCACCTTTATGAAATTCAAAATGAGGCTGGGTTAATAGGACTGTCCCCAACTTCAAGAGCAGATGGATGTGCCCATTATGCTTTGCCTACAATTAGAAAACAATGAGAAGCCAGGCTCCATTTACAAACAACCTCTACATCAATAGTCCCACATACTATTTTCTTGTGTGAGACCCTCTTCTACCTTCTTCACAGATGAAATCTACAGACTTCTGGATT